TTGTTGTTGTTGTTGTTACTGGTATATACACAAAAATGTGAAATCACAGCTGCCTGCCAGTTTTTTTTTCTGTTGTTGGTCTTCATACACATTAAGTTCTTCCCAGATTTTAAATTCCTCACTAAATAAAGCTGAATGATGATATACCTGACAGAAGTGAATTGCACAGTGGCCACTTCCTGCCACTGAAAAGGCCCTGTCTCTAAGTTGTCTCTAGCCAGGCTGACTTTCAGATAATGAAACTCCCTTGGTAGTATAACAGAGAAGCTATAAATAATTTTTATATTAAAACAATTGCTTGGATTTGGTTTGGAGGATGTTGCATGCTGCAAATATGGTATGACTGCCATGACCTAATCCCACTTGAGTTTTCTTAATCCTTAAATTCAAGGCAAAAATTTAAAGTCTACTGGACAGCTTTTGAACTATACAGAAAACTTGCTGGCTGTTCCACTCTACCTATTACACATGTACATTCTATGATTTGTTGGTTAAATTATTCCGCTTGATGCAGCTTGGTAGTAAACACTCAATATTGGTGGAATCACATGCCAGCTGACTCTCTGATAGAATTTAGTCAAGAGAAATCTTTTATAGCACTAGTAAGTAGTCACTTCTATAGGAACACAGACCTGACAGTTTTATTCATTTTTAAATTTATTATATATGCATGAGATTTGTTTGAAAATTTGGCCCAGGCATATATCATAAATTAAATCAACATGTTCAATGTATAGGCTGCTGTATGCATAGATCTGCTGAAAATCACGCCTAGGTTTTTTCATGCCCTCTATCTCTATGCTTATTGTTGTATGATTATTTGATTTTTTTGTCTATCTGTAATAATAAAAAATTATAGGGTTTTTTGTATTTCTTGCAGACTTAGAAATATAAATACAATTGCAAACAAATAAATACATATTAATCTTGCAATCCTATATACATATTTAAGTGAGAACAACTCTCACTGAATTCAGCAGAGTTGATGTCTGAGTAGATGTGTATATGCTTACAGTGTAACAATGCTACATCTCTATTTACTAAAAAATAATTCCCACCAAATAGAATGGGTTTCTTCCTGAATAAAAGTGACAAAGATGAAGCCCAAAGGAAAAAATAACCTGCTAATGGAATTGAAATCAGGGGAGGGGAATTTCTTAACTCCCTCATGCAGGCAAAATAACACACACACACACACACACACACACTTTGGAGGTACAGCAATTGTCCAAAACAAATTGAGGGTGAAAAGGTTATCTTCTGGGTGCACCACTCATAATCCAAGATTCATTTCAATCATTAATAATATAGAGTTTTATTAGGGTTGATTTTTTGTAAAAAGGTCATAGCCTTTGCTTTCCAACTTGAAGAGCTGCACTATTAATCAAAAATGTGGGTTAAAATTTAATAGCTACCCCAGTGGATGGATTTTCTGTGTGCAATTTTAGCAGCAATAATCTTACAAAGTAAATATTGATAAAGTCTGTACAGACGGACTGTGCTGATTTTAAAGGGAGTGAAGGCCAGAAGTTTCATCTTTGACATGCAGTTCTCAGTTCTGAATTGATCGGATATAGCTGCATATAGACCTTGAAGATTTTAGTACTGTGGATAAAGAGTTCATTAAAACACACATAGATAAGATTTATTATTTAGTCACTGTCAGAAAAAAATGAGAGCAACACATTCATCGCACCCGTTTGGGTGCGATGAAGGTGTAGCTGCTAAAGTCAGTTTTGTTTTTCCATTGGCCTCAGGTAAGAGTTACTATCCGTGTCTCCCTTCCATTTTATGCAGCTCGTTTTATGAGATCTTCAATATAATTTTAGATTCTCTTCTGCCTCTTATTCCATATTTCACTTCCAGAGCTGCAGTTTATTTCTGTCTTTGTGGCATTATCACAATTAACTCTACAGTAATCTTAATCCCTGGTAGTACTTGATTCAAAAGTATTATCCTTTCAAAGGAAAGCCATATAATACCTGCACATGATTTAATCTTTAGCACTGGCTGAATGAAACACTCAAGTAGCAGATAGTAGATGATAATTTTTGTGCCACAAATCTAGAGAGCAGGCACTGGTCAGAATAAATAATTGCCTGATGGACTATATATACAACTAGATTGTGTAAGGTAACATCTATGTCCTATCCTTCCTTTAGAAAAGTTAAGAAAAGTTTAATGTGTTTATGTTGGTAAGCTTGTTCAGTAACTTTTCCAAGCAATTAGTATTGTTTTTTCATCCATCCAAATGTTCACTCTGAACATTTCAGTTCAAAAATATTGTATCCCAGCAGTATATAGTGAATTATGAAGTTCAAATATTTTTAGCTCCATTTACATATTTTCCTTACATATTTTTCCAGACTGAAAAATGTTGATTATTATAGTGCATTTGTGGGGTGGCAGCTGACCATATTTAATTAAGACATCCTGCTGCAATTGTTGTGTATAACATTTTGTAATGTATATTTGTGTCTGATCATATTACATATGATTTGTATGTGATTGCGATGTGGGTATAAGGCCCAATCCCAGGTATTACTGTGTAATATACCAACTAAGTGACAAAAGTTATAAATGGGGATATTCTTTGACTATTCCAAGCAATTACAAAGTAGGGCTTAAATCAGTTATTACCTATCAAATGGGGTCAGAATGTTTATATGACTTTTAATGTCTAACTTTTGATTTTCCCTAGTTATTCTTTATCTTTTGATACCTCTACAATCACTTGTTTTGTAGTCTTTTGTATCCGCAACATGGACATTCCATCCTAAATTGCATGTTTGGTACTTTTTTGTCAGATAAATGAATAATAATAGTTTCTTAATAAATATATTGAAAAACAATGAAGTTGCTTTAAAAATAACCTTATAGTAAATATTTTAAGAGTCATGCAGTTTAACCTCTTTCTAAAAGAGATATGTAGGAGAAATTCCTTAAACTGACACTGCACCTTTTCCCAGAAAAATTATAGTCAAAATCCAGTTATGGGAATAATTGCTCATTCTTTCATGTGATTAGAAAACATCAACTGTAAGAGTCTGTTAAGATACACAGGCAATTATTTGTGCCAGCTTAAACAATCATTGTTTTAAACCTTAAATCTTAGTCTCAAAATTTATTTTTCTTGCTTATTCAATACCAATACCTTTTAACATTTTAACAGAGTATCAATAAAAAGGCCTAAGAAACTATCAAAGATACGTTATTTTTTTTAAAAAAAGTGGTGGCCAACATTTTCTACTCCTTTAATTTACAGTGGCAGAGTCTACAACTGCAATTGCATCAAATTCAGCTAGGTTTCCCCTGCCCCTTGTTTCCCATTTGTTTTCATGGTTGCCACAGTGACACCATTGGCAGAGCACCAGAGCTCCCAAATTACATAACAGTACCTTTGCAGAGAATTTTGAATCAGGTATATCTGTTAAGAGTTGTCTGTCTTGCTACGGCAACTATACTGCTCCATTTCCATTTTGGATTAAAGCTTACATTTAATTTGGGAACTGGTAGTAGTGGTAGTCCTCATTTACTGTAATTGGGACTGGCAAACTTGGTCATTAAAATGGTCACTTAGTGAAAAATTACATGACTGCAACAGAGCTTATTTTTAAATAGGACGTGTATTAACCGATTGTAATTGCAAACACATAACAGATACTGCAGAAGTTATAAATCCAGGCATTGGTCAGTTACTTTTTCAGTACTGCTGTAACTGCAATAGTCGCTGCCCAGGATGGTTGCTATGTAAACTATCTGTATTTTCGATTTCTAAAATTTTTCCCCATCCTCCCCCCCAATATCCATATGTAGGTGTCTGATGAAGTACATCCTGCTTTACAAGTTTATGCCATAATATATTTAGTCTTGATAAATCTCACAGCTATTGATTTTTAAAAGTCTACACATCACAACAGAACAAGTGGAAAGACCTGTCTTTGGATATCCTGTTTATGAAAAAAATGAAATGTTTTTAATAATTAGTTTTTGTATTTTGAGTTGAGTAAGATTATGATTAGAGAAATGTAGGTTATTGATGCTTAACTAATCACAATCATTCAGACCAGTAACCATTGTCTCTTATCCTATTTTTAGATGATTTCAAATTAAATAATATATTGGGAGAACAGCAAAATATTACAGTGGAATGCTCGTTTAGTGTTCCAGTTAGTCACTATATCTTTTCTAATATATTTGCTATATTGTGTTGCTCCATCCCACTGAGCATTCACAATCACTAGGGATTTCCTTCTTTATCCCTTTCACAATTTTTTTTGTACTTCTGTAAACCGTTCTGTAAACCTGCCAATGCTTCCTCTCTTGTGGCTGTGTTGTATCAATTTGTTACATAAGAATCCATCTTTGAGTTCTGGACAGTTGCTCTCAAGCACAGATGCAATGAATTAAAGTGGAAATAAGAACACTTGCTTCACCCTTTGTTCTTCTTACTCTTTAAAGGTGACTGTTGCAAAATGCCTCTGTATAATTTAGATCAGGGGTCCCCAATCTCCAGTGTCTGGACCGGCACCAGTCCAAAGCAAAGCTCCATCCACAGCATGCAAGCAACACATGCCCCCCCTGGTCTGTAGAAAAACCTCTCTCCACAAACCGGTCCCGAGTGCCCAAAAGGTTGGAGGCCACTGATTTGGAATCTGGAAAATCAAGGTTTTAAATCACATGGATAACAGTGAAGATTTCTCATGCTCACAGTAACTCATGTTACACAAACTATGAATATGGTGATGGAGGGGCCACAACATAAGCAATATCATCTCATTTTTCTTCCTTTTACTTAGAGCCTATATATATATGTGCTCCAAATGACTGAACAAAGATAAAGAAAAAATTATCTTTCATATATAACATGATGGTTGGCAAGTAAGTAGAAAAACCAGTTTTAATTCCTTTAATATGGAACAACCAGAAGTTTTCATTTTATACATAATCCAATTCAAAGACAATATAATAGCAATTCTGTCTGTATTTACAATCAGTGAGACAGGAGAGGAAACTAAAAATGGTAAATGTTCAACATGTGAATGAACCACAATTAAAATGGAATATTTACAAAGGTTTCAAAATTCAAAACTGCATATAAAAAACAATTAAATTCGTGCTTCCAAAGGATTTTTGAATGATGATTGCTGTTATGATTTAAAGAGTTGAAATCTTCAATAATGCCTTCGTTGATTTTGTATGACTTTAAAATTATTTCCAGCATTTCTTCTGTGACTGTTGCTTGTCTTTAGTCTGGTTTGGAATATAAGCAAGTAAATTTAATACAAAACCTAATTCTTTGTCCTGGGTAGAGAATAATGAATCTTAAGAGATGGAATTCAGTATTCCCAAAGTTCATATACACAAACATTATACACTTTAAATGTTCTTCACTGTTGCGTAAAGTATATGCACAGTATTAGTGAGGAAAAACATGTTATGGTTTTCACCTGGCATAGACTTTTGTTGAACAAAAATAAAATAGAATTCTACTGTTCCTTTAGCCAAGTTATGAGTTAATCATCAATTCCTGGTGTTTCACCTTGTTGTATTCTAGAAGCTATTCGAATTGCTTCTTCCAAAGACTGCTGTTCTCCAAGCTGAAACAAACAAAAAATAGCTTAAAATAAGCATTCTAAATAAGCATTTAAAAGCATTTTAGCATATTTTTCTCAAGTGTTTAAAGTACCAATATTACTTATGTATGTATAATGGTAATAGTTTGTCATATTTTTTGAGCCCACATACATAATTTCAAGTGATTTCTTTTTGAAACATGGGAACTTCTTTGAGGTACTTGTTTCTGGATTCTGCTGAAATTGCTTCTAAGCATGAATTACAATGGTTCAGAAACTGATAATGCAGGAGAGACCAGCCTTTTGATAAATAATGACTATTTCATAAATGGCTGAAATTTAGAGTGTGTATAGAGAATGTAAAAATTATTTGTATTAAAAAAGCAATTTTATTTTAATTGAGCAATTTATAGCATATTTCATGGATACATTAACTATTTTAAAAAAAATTTTTACTTTAAAATCACATACATATAAGAAGATCCAGATCTATTGTTCTGAAAAATTAAAGCAGATTATTGAATTCAGTGAAGGTTACTGGGTTATATTTATATGTATCCCACCTTTATTATTTTTACAAATAACTCAAGGCAGTTAATATACTTAATACTCCTTCCTCCTCTTCTTTTTCTCCACAATAAGCCTGTGAGGGAGGTTGAACTGAGAGAGAATGACTGGCCCAAGGTCACCCAGCTGGCATTCTTTGCTACGGCAGGATTTGTAAAAGAAAAAAGGGGTAGAAGAGAAGTCAGCCATCACTGATTCCCTCTTCTCAAAATTACTTCCTGCAGTGATCCAAAAAAAAAAAAATCAACAAATCTCCAGAAGCAAACTGTGGAGAACATAAAAGGATAGACAGATAGAATTTCCCTGTTGTCTTTCTAGGCCTGCAGATTCTCCAGTTTGTGAAATTCTACCCTGGATTCAACCCATATATTATTAATAAAATATTTCCAATGTCTATTACATATCAAAATTACCTGCACTGCAATTTGTGTTCCATTGGATGTTGCCAGCAAAGTAACAGGTCTAGATTCTGCACTGACTAAATGATGTCCATGTTGCTGATGTCCAATTTCTGGTGAAGCACTATGAAAAGCTGCTAAATCCTGAGCCACAATGGCAACCTTAATAAAAAGCACAGAGAAAAAAACATTCTAAATATTGAAATCTAAAAATAATTATTTTAAAGTTTTAAAGTCACTGATGATTAGTCTTAATATTTTAAATATATATACTAGGACATAAAGAGAGACATATGAATAATACCTCCAATACATATTCTAGAACCAATAGTAAAAATAATAACTATTTGCAAAGAGTAAACAAATCAGTAAAATAATTTACACAATATGCTAAAATATACTATGTTTAGACCTGGCATAAAGGATGAAGCATTCATTTAATAATGCTTAAGGCAGATTATCTAAACTACAATATGTACCTATAACATTGAAATCACAGCGTCATGCATTAAACTAGAAATAATTATTCCTTTTGGCCTTTGGGCACAGAGATGAATGGCAGTTACAAAGTATGTTGATTTATTTATTAGTAAAAATTCCATTCAGCTTCAATTTACTTTAAACAATTTACAAAGTTGAATGAATGAACCAAAATAAATTAATACATAGAAGAGTAAAAAAAATTGGATTTCTGTTGCACTGAGCTCTTTTTTAATTCACTTCTTTTTGCATGTATTATCTCAGACTGAACTAGATTGTCTAGAATTATGTTATAAATCCTGTAATATTGGTAAGCTTTTTATTGTTACCATAGTAAACAATTACAATTCTATATATATTTACTAATGTATACTCTGTAATTTTATTTTTTCTGTTGTATTTTTTTCTTTCTTTTAAACAATTGCTATATAGTTTTGACTTGGTATCTTTATTTTTTGTTTTTTTTATTTTTCTACTATTATTTTTAAAGCAATAATATATATATATATTTTAAATGTTATGCTGAATTATTTTCTCCAACATATTTGTATGTTGTTCTGAACTATTTTTTCTATTTTATTATGTGGTTTTATTGGTTATTGCTGTTATTATTCACCCCACCCAGAGTAAGGTGGCTCTATTAATCAATCAATCAAATGTCATGCTAATGGCTAAAAAAATATGTTGTCAACATTTATTTAGAAAGCCTCAAATGTTTGTTTTTACCTATATATTTAGAAACAATTTACCTGTTGCCCTTCCGTGTCTTCCGCAGTGACCATTGCAACAGAATGTGTTCCTGCAGAAGAAATAACTGCATCATGTGCAGGGACTGTGATGGTAGTGCCATCTTGTGTTACCATAGTGATAGTATTTCCAATGGCCTGCATGTCAGCCTGAGAGATATTAACCTGAAATAGTATATAATCATTTAGTTAACAACATTGAGTTGAGCGTAATTTTTTTATATAAGATTTCATCCTGGGATATATTAATGCATCTTTATAGTAACTAAATAAGTAATAAAAATTAAAGATCAGCAAGGTTCATAACGTTAACCAGAAGTCAGACATAGAAAACCAGAACTGGAACTTTTAAAGTAAATTTACTATATTGTTTTAAGCCTTAGATCAGGAGTGTCAAACTGGATTTCTTTGAGGGCCACAGTATTCTTTGAGTTTCCACAGTATTGCAATCCTTTTTTTAAAGTTAATGTATCATGTGCTCCTAACATTATTACTGTACTGGAAACCAATGTTAATGACACTTGTAAAAAAACCAAACAGGAAAACATTTTTTTAAAGTTATTTTGAAGGCTATCGTCATTATGGCAGATACTTACATGCTGAGTTCCATCCTGAGAAATAAGTGCCACCTGCTGACTCAGCCCAGTCTGAGTCACAGCAGCAACTTGTGAAACTACATCTTCTCCTTCAACACCCGTTACATATGTTATTTGAGAGCCTTTGAGAACATCTTCACCTTGACCTATTTAAAGGAATTTGAGTTAAATTTGCACTTTAAAAAGGTAAGAAATTGTTTATATTGAGCTCAAGCCCTGACTACATGGAAAGATACATGTTAGGATTCTGGCAACAAATGGACACAATCTGCAATTCCACTGGCAGCTTTCTAAGTATTTTTTCAACTTCCCTAGAGTTTCGTTCTTCTAGTCTCCCAATTAAGTGCCAATTGGTATTTATTATATTTTATTAGCTTTATTAAAATGATCATGGTGTCCTACAATCAGTCCCCTAAGGTCTTCCAAATATGCCAGGTTTTTACTAGCCACAAAGGTAGGGGGCTAATATTGCCTTGCAAGCCAAACTCTTCTATAAGAAGGAAATTACCACAGAGAGTACTTGATATCAGGTCCCCTCCCGTCACACCTCTTGATAGTAATAATCTTTTAGTAGGTGCTTTTTGACTTTTCTGATTTGGATATGCAGAATTATTTTGGAGGAATATTTAAACAAAACAATTTGCATTATAGATCAGCTATGTCCCAAATATGTTATGAAAGAAGAGTGAGAGAAACAAATTACTCAAGTAATTAGAAGAAAATGAGAAACCCAGAGATGCAATCACTTGCAGAAAGATCTCAAACCCGAGGTTATTGCACAATTATTTGACAACACAAAGGACTTATAGTTAATTTTGGAAGATAAATCTGCCTCCAACAGTGCTTACTATGATGATGATTTAATTACAGGTCCCCCAATGCAATTGAAAGAAGAATATTTTCAAGTAAGTAAATCAAGAAAATAAGTTTTGGATCCCCACTTCAAATCGAAATGGAAAAGGACAATGTCGACATATTTGCTTTAAAAGTCATATTGGAGAATCTCTTGTGAGGAGAACTTTGTACTTCTTTATTACATTTTCCAAAGAAGAAATATAATTTTATGAAATTTTATGTACTACAGGGATTGCCATTGCTAAGCGATGTGGTCACATGTTATGACTGCACCACTTAGCGACAGAAATTCCACTTCCAATTGTCATTATAAGTCAAGGACTGCCTGTGCAATAATCTAATCAAGATAAGGTATATGATGATATATAACTGGATATCATTAGATTATTGATGACACATCATCCCAGACTGATGGACGGCCTCTTTGAATGGTACAATCTCAGAAACTTATACAGCACATTCTGTATTTACATTTATATCTTCTCTGAGTCTGATTAGTTTCAGAGAAACTTAACTATGTTTGTAGTAATTAACTATAAATGGCGAGTTTTTACAGATAATTTTAAAACACAAAAAATGGGCATCATAGAAAACATCTGGTGTTGAAGAGTAGAACTTATAATGAACTATTTGCAAGAGGTAAGGGGGGGAAAAGCATTCTTACAGTTAACATGCGAGAAAAATTAAAAGTTACACTAATAAACTGATACCTGGAGGTGGCTCAAAAAAAGCTTCTTGTTCTTCCTCGATTGGCTCAGTATCATTATGTGCTGTTCGCTTGTGCATTGCAAGAGTAGAAATCTGTTTGTATGTTTTTCCACAGTGATTACAGTTGTAAGGTTTAGAATGCGTATGTACCACATGGTGTTTATATAAACTGGAATATTCGGTAAAACGCTTATCACAGCCAGGGACTGTACATACATAAGGCTTCTCCCCTAGGCAAAAAGAGACAAAATTTCTGTTGCTAAATGAGACATCTGTTAAGTGAATTTTGCCATATTTTATGACCTTTCTTGCCAAAGTTAAGTGAATCACTGCACTTGTTAAGTTAGTGACGTGGTTGGTTAAATGAATGCATGGTCCTGGGAAACTGCAACCATCATAAACGTGAGTCAATTGCCAAGCGCCTGAATTTTGATCATGTGATCATGTGCTGCAACGGTCATAAGTGTGAAAAATGTAAGTCACTTTTTTCAATGCTATTGAAACTTTGTGAACTGTCACTAAACGAACTGTTATAAGTTGAGGACTACCTGTGCTAGTAATCATGATCATTTTGTGGACCAATGCCCACCGGAAACAGCCACTTCCCATCCCTCACCCTCCATTGCTGATAGCACTTTAAATTGCCTTTTTCAGAGATTTCTCCAGCATCATAAATATTCTGGAAAATCACAAGGAATCATTTTATGTTTACAAATTTATATGCTTATAAAGCATAATAATTGGTAATGTACATATATTATTACAGCATTATTTTTTTAAGTGCATATAACACAAAAATCTGATCTCACTATTTACATGTAGCATTTCAATTTTTGGGAAAATGTATGAATTCTTGAATTCAAAACATGCTAAAAGAAATGGAGAATTCAAATGGAGAATTATTAGCTCATTATTTAGTAAATAATAAGACCCAAAGTATAATTGTTTAGAAGGATGCCAGTCACTTTCTCTTGAAAGGAAAGAGACTCTAGGTCCATTAGTGACAATGCCTTACTGGGAAATGTGCTAATTAATACTGAAAAAAGAAGAAAATATATATATATATTTTAGCAAACGTTACCATGCACTATGTATCAGCAACAGTTTCTCAAAAAAGAAACTAGCACGCTTAAGATAATACATAGTATTACATATATTGCATAAAGAAAATAAAGGAAAACAAGACATATATAAAGTTTTTCAAAAATCTTTCTTTTCATTAATCATTTGAAAATAATTCCTGGGATTCCAATTCTGCAATTCAAAGTACGTTATTCCGATTTTTATTTTACAATCCTGAAACATAAAAATACATATCATCTTTAAAACCAATGTATTATAATAAACACAAGCCAGAGACTCAGGCCTCCAATTTAGAACTACTTTATCAGAATGAATGGTTAGATATCAAATGCAAAAATGAATGCCTATATTTTCAGCTGTTTTACAACCTTACTAGCAATGACAGTTTGAGAAATTCTGTTCTACAGTTGCATTCACATTATTTTAAATTATCTCCATTTTCTTTGATTATCATTAGAGAATATTTCAAGTTCTATTTTGTTTAGAGGTGAATGAATTGTTTCCTATTTCCCCAAAAGACCTAAAATATACTTCAAATGAAACTGGAAAGTAAAAAAAAATCAAGGACTATAACCAAAATATATCAAATACCATACCTGTATGTATTCTCACATGATTCTTATAGTTAGTTGCACTGGCAAATGCCCTTCCACATCCTGGTTCTGTACAATAATATGGTCTTTCACCTGTATGTGTCCTGATATGAACCTTTCTGATGTTAGATGTTGTAAATGACCTACCACATCCTTCAAAGGGACACTTGAAGGGCCTTTCGCCTAAAAGAAATTGAGATAAGCAAATTAAATATTTTAATAAACAAATCGCTCCATCTTCTTCCTTCTTTTTTCACTATTTTGAATAAAATAGATTAGAAATAAATTTCTAATGCTGTCTTGTACAAAATTGTGAGCTCTAAAATATAGTGAAGAAACATCACTGAATTCACTTTTTGCTTCATTTGTTTTATATTTATTTTGGGTGAACAAACTGTTCCTATTCTCAGGCATTAATATTTAATATTTTCATCCTTTTTTCTTTAACAATTCATGAATCATGACTAAAGTTGGGGGAATTTTTGTAGATTCAATACTACTGTATTACTAGCTTAAGTCAAAGATGCAGCTAGAGAAACTTCTATAAACAAATAAGGCAATGTTTTGTACATGTTTTGTGTTGGTCTAGACTGTATTAAAGGTTGAAAATCTACATGTTTATTCTTCTCATTTCTCTGAATGGTAAAATGCCAATATACACATAGTGGGTAAAAGCTATTCATACTGCATATGAATAATTCACAAAAACAATAAAAACATCATTAAATGAAAGGCAAAATACAAATGAGACAGGATGGAAGGAAACCCTAGAGGCAAAGATTTTGAATGTTACTATGTACTTTTTGTTATTATGTATTGTGTACAGAGTCTAGTTTAACTGCTGCTGGCAAGTTTGCCATTTCAGTTACTCCTTAAATTAAGAGGAAAATTCCATAATCCAGAGCATTAAACTTCTGAATTTGTCCATTCCCAGTCAAATACTGAACTTTGGACACATATAAGTAATATAATTTTTTACACAAAGTTTATGTGTCTAAAATGTTAAATGTGGTTTGTCAGACAGCATGAAAAATTGCTGCTTGAGAAAGAAAAGGCATATTTTGTTCTCTGGATTGTAGCACTGGCTGTGTTTGAACAAATGGGTATCAATTATCCATCTGTATATAGAACACTCTAAAACATATGTGTATTAAACTCACCTATGTAATAAAGAAAAAAAGTATCTTTTCCCCATTTAACTTAAATACAACTACCATAAATATGTCTGTACTGATCAGTACTTAAATCCCTACAACAAATGTTATATTGCTAGCATACCCTTATGCTGCTGTGCGACACTTTCTCAAGTGCTTTTGCTAAGAACTGTCGAGTCTCTGTATACTTTCATGCCACAGAGAGAAGCCTAAGAGGGATGGGTGAAAGCACAATTTTTATAATTCAATGTATTATTGAATATTACTGAAATATTTATTAATCCCCCCACTACTATTATAAACCACCAGATAGGAAAAATCCTTCAAATTACTTCCATGAAAGACAACTATTGGCTTTCTCCTAGAAAAAAACTGCATTTTTTTACTTTAAAAAGCCTGCCAATTTTCTGCCAGAAAGATGTATGTTTTGAAGTATGTTTACTATAATGTTATGTTGCCATAGTTTCCATAATCCTTTCATGATGCTGTATATCATATTGTTACAAGGGAGAAAAGAGCTGAACTGTGCTAAGACACGCCCAACAACAGCTTTTCCTTAAAGGCGGTCTTTGGTTTAAACAGAAGGAATGGAATGTCTGTAAGAATGTTACACAACCTGTTTTGATTCTTCATTTCTTTTTTTGAGGGCAAACGATAATGATATGGTTATTTTAGAAACTGGACTTTTAACAGGGAAACAAATTTATATAGTTTCATAGATTCCTCCACTGTAATTTCAGTCTATGTATTTTAATGTAAAGATAAATTTATGTGAAGTCTCCCTCCCTTGTGAAGACATTTAAACCTGAAAAGCAGATGAGAGAAATAGGATGCTGAACACTACCTGTGGAGCCAATTTGGTATAGTAGTTAAGGTACCAGGCTAGAAACCTAGAGACTAGAAGTTCTAGTCCCATCTTAGGCAAGAGAGCTAACTGGGTGACTGTAGGCCAGCCACTCTTCCTTAGCCAAATCACCTTAGAGGGTGTTGTGGTGGGGAAAATGGGAGGAGAGAAGAATGTTTGTTCACTGCCTTGAGTTATTTATAAAAATAATAAAAGAGAGATTAAAACAAAATATAAAAATAAATTAATTAATACAAACACATACACTCCAGCCTTGTTCTTCTATGAGGTTTTCAATTTCAATTTAGATCTCAGTATTTCTGTGGGATATATTGTTTGTGCTTACATTAGAAACATACAAGAAAAAATAATTCCTACATAATATATATTGTATGTAGCTATGGTTAAAAAAAACCACTGTGGGTGTAAACTGTCAGTTTTAATTGCTTTCTTCCTGAGAAATTGCAAATATCAATTGTATATAAGCTGTCTCCACAATTAATGTTGAACCATGTCCAAAAGAAGTAAAAATAATGTTTTTAAAGCACAAATTTGTATTACTTCACTTCTTCTGGAAGTAGACAAATGAACTGGGTGGCAATTTTTTTGTCTTTGATAGTAAATCAGCAAACCTTTGCCTGATATTCATTTACTGTATGAAATTCATGGATGTGTGGAAACTATGAGTATAGGTAACAAAAGCTTCACAGAGCAGCAGAGACAAATGAAGGAATGGAGTATATACACAAGAGACTAACAAATGAAGGAATAAACAAATGTGAAGAGCTCCAAAATAGCACAGAGAAAAAAAATACTGAACTGGGGTTATAGGACTTTAGATAAAAATCAGGAAAACCGAGGTAATCTGTCAATACTGTTAAAAGAAAATAATGGCAAAATCAGAAACAGAGAAATGCTATAGTGTATACTGGACATGTACAGAGAAAAAGAAGGAAGGTTAGGGGAGAAAAAGGATCCTCAGAAGAAACCGAGTTGTACAAACTATCCCTTTTACACATTTGTTAAGAATGTATTTTTTTCACTCTCCACTGTTTAATATCTCAAAATATCTAAACAACGTTTCAGAATGAAACATCATCAATATGTTGATGATTTCAAAGCCCATTTGTTATTCGCATCTCAAAGATCAGACTAAATTTAGTGATGTGCTAAGTGAGGCTAAAAAGCAAAGCAGCCAATTAGAAGCTACTTCTGGTAGATTGACAGACTAACCAGGAATTATTCTATTACTGATAAAATTGTGCAAAAACAAATGTGCAGTTTTTGAATACTTTTAGGCCAGGTCTATATGGCATAAACTGCATTTCAAGTTTCAACTTTGTATCAGTTGTATATCCTCCTGAAAATCACCAGACAAGTCTGTTGCAAGGTCTTCTATGTGGGCCTATTCATGAAGATTATGCAAACATGATCATTAGTGAAAATACAACAGTTAGCTAACCTAAGCTGTCAAACTTAGCCATACATAATCAATATTTAAAAAGCTTCATTTTTTT